TTTTTTTTTAACAGTAAGAAGGGTATTACTGGGAAATGGCTGCCCTACCAAGAACTACATTTCCCAGCTGCCTGGCAACTGGGTCTATCCATGGGCCTAGGCCTCCCCAGCTAGATTTGAGAGGAAATGATGAAAGGTCCTGGTCTGAAACTTGAAAAGAATGGCCATGTCTCCTCCACACCATCTCTGCCCCCACTTCTACCAGGCTGATGCTTAATGACTGGAACAAGGCAGAGCTAAGGCTTTCTACTGTCACCATGGAAACCTCAGGCTACGAACCTCAGGCATGGCTTTGGAGGAGGCAGGTCTGAATCAAGTGTGGATAAGAGGGATAGTTCTCACTGATTCCGTGGACAGAAGAAACCCCTTTTATGAAAAAAAAAATCACCTCATGAAAATAACTGTTTCATTGAGGAAAAGGAGGTTAGGTACTGGCTTAGTGTGATTTTTCTTACAGGAATCTCAGTAATAAAAGATGCTTCATAGCTATAAATACAGAGCTATAAAATCCAAACATCACTTAGCAAATTCTGGGTCTTAATGCCTCTAGGTTTTAGATACTTGCATTATCACTGACTTAAGACTTTCTTGCACATTTTTACTATCTGTTAAACACAGTAGCTGCGTGGGACTGTAAGGGGATGGCTCCAAGAACTGGGTCAGCTATAACAAACGGTGATCTCCCTATTACACGCAGTGATCATAGTGTATCCACTTCTCCTTATGAAAACACATGCCTCAGGTTTGATGCCAGTACCTAGAGCCCCAGGATCATCTAGGCTACTATAAATCACACATTCACACTCTCTTTACAGATCCTAAAGCTGAAGGCAACTATTCTCTATTTCCAAAGTTGGTCTTGTTCATTTTTATAGATTTACATTCTAAATCAGCCCTTTGTTCTCTTTCCACATATCATGTTACCTATTTTCATAAATGTAAAGGCATTAATGCCACCTACTTCTAAGCTATTCCTTTAAATGCTACTTGAATCATACAACAAGAGTCTGTGGATTTTCCTTCCTTTGGTTCTACAATTTTTTATTCTATTTACTGCTTCTTCCTTTGAATAAACATCATCACCCCTATATAACAACCATCCCATCTTTCTCTTCATTTTTCTCTTTTATTTTTCTTTCCATCTTCTCTCCATCCTATTTCCTTTCCACACCATCACTCCACTTTGAACCACTCTGTCTCAGCACCTTAGCTTTAATCACACTGCTTTTCATAATCCTGTGAGTCCCATCTTATTAAACAAGGGCCTCATTTCATCTTTCCCTTTCAACTCAAGTCCATATCTTGCTTCATCTCACATTATTTTCCCCTCTTTTCTTTACCTTTCCTTATTCTTCTATTGCCATAAACGGGGTGCCCCAGGCAGTCTGTCTTTAGTGATAAAGTTGGCAGAAGGAGGGGACATGGAGGCGGGTGGCTGGAGGGACAAGGACCAGCAGAGCAGCAGGTGAGGTAGGCTTCCCTGTGGCCACCCTCACTTTCCCAAGTGCCTGACAGAAGGGTGGTCCAGAACTTCTTAGGGAAAATGAAGAAGAAACAAGTGGTCCCCATGGCTAGGCAAAGAGAGATGTAGCAGCAAAAGCTGGCCAAGCCTTCTGAGCAGGCAAATCATAAGAGAAGAAATATTCATGGCCAATAACAATACAAAAAGATGCTCAGCCTCACTAGGAATTAGGGACATAAAACTGTTTGCCTATTATATAGGTAATGATTAAAAAGACAAACATTAACCGGTGTTGGTGAGATTGTGAGGAAACACTTTCAGACAGTGTTAATGATGGAGTAAGTTGACAGGTTTTCCACCTCATGCTTTGGCAATATACAGCTACACTTTAAATATCTACAACCTTTGACCCTGCAACTCCAACCAACAGGATTTAACCTAAGAAAATAATTAGATGATGAAACAAAGGTATGGACATGAAATCATTAATAACCTCTCCCTTGTTTATATCATAAGAGCAAGTTGGTGGTATGGGGGAGCTTGGCAAGAGGAGGCTGAGGGGAGGCTCATGCCTGTGGAGGAGTGAGGGGGGAGAAGGACAAAAAGAGAAACAGAGGGTGGGAAAGGAGATAGAAGAAGGGGCATAAAGAGGACACAGGGCACAGGGTGGAGAGAGGGAGAGGTTTGTTTGCAAAGGTGAGAAAGGAACAGGTCATGGGGTAGTAGGTGAGCTTGAGAGGAAAGTATGGGGAAGAGAAAAGGCAGAGAGGAGGAGAGAAAGATCTCTCTATCAAAACACAGTCAACTATGGTATATCCATATCATGCAGACCTTAAAGGGAATGGTGCAATCCTCTATATGAAATAGAAAGATGGTTAATTGGAAAGATCAACACACAGGACAGCAAGCCTAGTGTGATCCCATTTATCTGAAGTGATACATAAAGATAAGTGCAGCAAAGGGATGGCTACATGTATGCATGATGCTCAGTGAGTTGACTCTTCCGGTAGGTTTAGGCTCTATTTCATGAATTTCTATTTTGTCAGCATTTCAATAATTAATTTCTAGCAATATGCAATACATTAAAATTCTATATAATTTAGACAGACCCTTATATTTTCCTGTGAAAATTAACCAACATGAACATAAATGAAGTAGATGTAATTATACCACCGGCTTTTCATACTGCAGAAATGTTCTATTCTTCATGTAATAAACTTAAACTGCTCGTTAAAATTTCATTTGTATAATTTTGTACTGAAAAGACAATGGAATTAGGCTGCTGTACACAGACATCACCTACCTAGCTATTCTTTGCCTACAAGGGACCTCATCAGGGCATTATCAAACCAAATACTTTTCATCTTGAAGTCACATTGACACGGAGATATTAAAGAAAGCTGTCTTAATTCAGGTTTCCCCTAAAGAAGCCCCTCATATAGGGTCTTTGGAACAGGTATATGATTCAAGTGAGGGGAAAGTGAGATGGGGCAGGAGGGAGGCAAGACAAGAAAAAGTACATTAATGAATGGGGTTAATACAGCAGGTAACTGGGGTTCAGTTCTTTCGCAGGCCTTCCAAGAAACTGGGTAGGAAGAATCACAGAATTGTCCACTAGGTGTCAAGGAAGTTGGGGTGTTATCCTCATTGGTGGAGCCTTGCCATTTCAGGCATTAAATTCTTGATCCTTCAGGCCACGGGAATTTCGGCCTTAGATGCTCACTAAGGCCTGTGGGCCAAATACAGTACTACAGGTTGAGGATCCCTAATCCCAAAAATCCAAAATCCCAAATGCTCTAAAATACTAAACTTTTTTAGTGATAACATGACACTCAAAGGAAATGCTCATTGAAGCATTTCAGGTTTTTTTATTATCTGCCCAACTGATAAGCATATAATGCAAATATTCCAAAATCCAAAAAATAGCCAAAGCCTGAAACACTTCTGATCCCAAGCATTTTGAATAAGCAATGCTCAACCTCTATTTGGATTATATTTATTATCTCACCAAAACCTTAAAACTCTATGGAGTATTGGCTCTACTGTACAGATTAGGAATCTGAGATGCACAAGCATTAAACCACTTGCTGAAAATCAAACAGTGAATATGCAGCTGAGCTGAGCTCCACATCTAGTTCTGTCTCATCCACTATGTGATGCAACGTGATAAAGCATGTCAATTCTCCAGTACAGCTGGCATCTCCTTACTGGGTCACACAACCTGAAAGAGACGTGTGAACATTTCCAGCCTCCCTCCTTGCAAGGGAAAGGTAGTGAGATAGCTGCCCAGATTGTTTTAATCCTCTTGCATCCATAAGACAATCTTCGAGTTCATAATCCCCCAGCCATGTGAAATTTTTATAGCATCATCACCTATGGTTACTCCTACCCTAAATACCAGTCACTATGAAATTTATGTCAGAATTCAGATCAAAGTATGAGAGGAAATTCAAGGCAAATTTTTGTCTGATGAACTCATGGCAGAGAATTATATTTGATAGAGAGTTCCAGATTCTAGTATATTAAAAAACAATCTATAACTTTATTGTGAGGAGAGTACTTTATTAGAACAAATAAAACATGCTGAGCTCTACCCAGACACACAGGTCACGCTAATGTGTGAGCCAAGGAAAGTCTTTTCTTGCTTTAGTAGAAAAGATAATAATTTGCAAATCACTAGCATCTGAGGCTGGCCTGATTTAAAATGCACACAGACAGAGAAAAAGTTCCAGGAAATCATTGTATTTATAGCTTGCCTGCATGAGTCAGTGGAAAGGCCCTGGCTGCTCCCAAAATAACACTTGGGACAGCACTGTATCCTATCACCTTCACTAAAGCAAAGGCATGTCTCATCTTCTATTCCTTAGGTTCCCTAGGAGTTTATCTCCTACTACACAGGAAACCAGGGGAGCAGACAGGGCCCCTCTGTCCTCCCCCCACCTACAGCCCAGCTACACAGCTGCTGGCTCAAGAGCATCCCATCACCAGAAGCCCAGAGCAGCCTACCTGAAGGGGCCCTGGCCCTAGGACCCTCCACCAACTACCCAACCATCAGTCAGAATCAGAGTCCCTTCAGCATTAAATCTTACAGGACACAAGATCTTCTCCACAGGTGTAAAGTGCAGGAGAAGGCTCTGGCTAGGCCTCAGTCTCCAAGATCTTTCATAGAAGAATGACTCAAGCATCTGAGGAAATGACAGCAATCTATCTTGTTTAGAAATTACCAGTGATGCAGAGAATAAGACCCCAGCCACACACTCAGCAGACTGCATGGGGGTGAAGCGTTTTTATCCTCTTGGTAGAGAAATTCCCAGTTCTTGATCCATAACAAGTGTGGGCAAGGCTCCAGACACATGAGCTATATATGCGTCTAGAATTGCTTTCCCTCCCAAGAACACCATAGCCACATGAAGACCTTCATGGAATGTGAAACTGCCAGGTCAGCCCTTTCTCCAGACTCACAGAGGTCTCTCTGGCAGACACTCATCCACTGGCTCCAACAGGAAATGGAAGGGGTCAAGGGCAAAGGGCACTTCACCTGGCACACTGGGCTGGAAGACTTTATTCAGATCCAAGGAGGAGGCTCTGGAATGGGTTTTCTGTGGCCGAGGTGGCGGGGTGGGAGGGTCCTCGCCCCTTTTCATGGCCTCTTCTATGGAGGTGCTAGAGTAAGATCTGTAGCAAAATAAGGGAAGGTCAGAAGGGAAATAGCAAAGCTTTACTCTCTGAAGTTGGGTTGAAATGGAAAATACCTGCAAAGTCAAAGTGACTAAAAAGAACCGATGAGCTACCAAAGCAGCCACAAGTTCTATTATCCATTGAATGCCACTATGCACAATAATTGTCCAAATCCAACCATGAATTGGGATCTTTTTTAATCTCATTGTTTTTATTATACCTTAGACCTAAATCGACCCTCCCACCCAAAAAACCTTGTACAAATTCAAATCTGTTTCTATTGGAATTGTTAATAACATGGAGCCTCTCAGACATTTCCACGTTCTAACAGAAGGGCTTCATGCTATAAACTGATTGGAGAACTTTTCTCCTGTTCACTTGCAAATGTGATGACAGGCCAATGTGGAATTGGGACAGATAAGCTGAGGGTAAGAATCCAATGTTCAAGGGAGTATGCCATAAATGAAGCTAGGAAAGGAAAACCCACTCAATCAGATTGAGGGGTCTAGCCTGTCTTGCCCTGAGAAAGCAAAAGCCTCATTTTAAGCTTCTTCCTCAATCTATAGCAAAGCATAATTAACTGGGCAACTTCTGAGGCTGTAACTCCAGTAATACCATTTTTTAAAAAAAGGAACTAAGTAACCTGCAAAAGGTCAAATAGAAAGTTACACAGCTCAATTCAAACTCTAATCTCTGTTTCTACATTCCATTTTTAAAATGTTCTCATACTGCCTATGAGTCCAGGGGGGAATACTTTGGTGGTAGCAACTAGAATATTTATTGGAGATCTACTTACTTTCCAAATTCAATTCAAATCCATACACTGTTCTATTGCCTGGGAATAGGTTTAAGGACAGGATCCCAATATGATGATCAAGAAGGGGCCCTAAGATGTAGATATAAACATCTATTGTATTTAGCTTCTCAACTAACTTCATGTCAAAGCAGGAAACAACCTTTGAGTCAGAGGTACATCCTAGAGACAAATTAACCTCTGAAAACCGTTCTTTATACTTAGCTATTAGAGAAGGATTTAGGAATTTAGAATCTATCAATTACTATTACACCCCTTCAGTTCTTGACAGAGCTGTTCTTGACATCATGAGTTTTTATTTTCCTGAATAAGTTTCTCAAGGTTTCTTTGCGGTAACTGAGGGTTTTGTCTGTCTTAGAAGGTTGCAACTTTAATAAAGCCACCATAATGGCATGTGATGTGCTCTGGGGTGGTCCCTGTAACATAACTGGCAAGACAGGCAAGGCAAAGTCAGGCAGAAACTAGCATGGAGGAACGCTCTGACACTTTAAACAAGAATCAAAGGGAACTGATACAGATGGACAAGGTTCTTAAATAGAAACATTCACTTTAAAAAGACAATTAGAGACACTAGCTAGAAATAAAAAGAACCTTCTATGCCACATATAGCTGTAGTGACATCTTTCATTCAAAAAAGAATAATGTGTGTATAAATAATGTGTTTGCATGCACATAGTTAAGCACACAATCCCACAGCGCATATTCCTCATTTTCATTTTATTTTCATATATAACCTGTATGTTTATATCTTCATATGGAAAGTTACTGAATATAAAAAAGTGAGATTGTATAATCATGACTGCTGCAACCAATTAAAACGTAAATGTGCAAGGAGTTAACAAAATGATGAATGCAGTGGTGTTAGAATGGTGATTTTCTCTCTTTCCCTTATATTTCTATAAAAATTTATTAATTCAAAAAGGCAGATAAAAATAATTCAATTCTCTTGATTTTCCCAGTGGGAAGTACTGAAAATAAAATCATCCAAATTAGACAAAAAGAGCAATCTCTGAAAGGATAATATGTAAAATTTAGCCAGACACATTAATAATAGAATATGTGGCTATGAGATTTTATAATTTCACTGGCTTTCTGGGAGAGAGAAAGTCAGCAGAAGCTAAAACTTTGAAGTTCTATTTATGGTTAACATAGTACACATAGCAGATTTCTGCAATTCAAAGGCATTTCCTACTAGAAAGCATATCCCAAAACTAGTACAGACTAGTTCGTGAAAGATCTATTCATCCTTTAAAAAAGGATGAGTAAATGTGTCGACCACAGAGCAAAAGAATGTCTACACCTTTCCTTCCTACCTAAATGAGTTACTCTACTGTTTTTAAATATTGATAAATATAAAAATATAGATATCTGTATCTTATATAAACAAGGAAACAAAACTCCAATTTGGAAAATGCAGATAGAAAGGGTAACTCTTTGACTTACGAAGAGATGAAATTCCTTAAATATCAGTATTTCAAGCATATAAAATATGATCAGACTAAAAATTTACTTTTTCAGGATTGTGTCTAGTAGGCAAAGGAGGGAAAAATGTCACTAAGAGCCAAAGCAAAACAGAAAATACATGCATGGTATCCTTGGTATCCTTACACTGCAGTTCTACCAGTGAAAACCATTTCCCTTCCTTAATGGATTAATTCTATTAAGTGTCTGTATTTCCCCTCTGCTCCTCCTTTCTGAGTCTCACATCAACCACAGCTCTGCTTTACTGGCTTTCTCTCTTTTACTAGCCTCTTTAAAAAATGTGAAGCCGAGAAGGGGTACTAAGATAGGTTCTAACAGACCATAAGCATTGCTTACCTGAAGCTGCAAGCTTCGCTGAAGTTATCACAAGCATACAAGCATTTTCTTTCCCTACTCTAGATTTTATTACCCAGACTTTTGACTTTTTGGTGTTCACCTTGTCACGATAGCAAATTTTCGTGTTCATTACCTTACCCATATTTTCCCCTTTCCAAATCTACTTTCCCCTATTAGTTATCATCTTGCAACAAGTGGGTTATCTCACACAATCCACTTCACGTCGAGGGGCCATAGGGCATTAGCCACCACCTTCTAGCACTAATGAATACAGAAACCAAGGCTCCCAGCATCACTGCACATTCCCATCAAGCCATGCATAAGTGAAATGCTTCATATTCTAAGCTTTACACCTAAAGGAAGAGGAAATCATGTGTTGGGTTTTTGGTTTGTGGTTTTTCTTTCTAGGCAGGGGCAGGGCACAAAGGGCATTAAAGCAGAAATTAAACAAATACTACCTGGATCTTGGTCTTGCTTTGAGACTGTTGGAATCCTTGGGACTTGCTGAAACAAAGATTATTTGTTGTTTGCTTGGGTTTCATTTCTGCAATTAAACAGGTTTATATGCAGCACCTGGGCTAGTACAGAACATACCAACAGATAAATGTGAGGTAAAAGTGCCCACGTGGAGAACTGGATGGCTCCCACATTTTCATGATTTCCTCATTTTATTTCAAAATCTAAAGGCACAATTAAAAGGAAATAAAAACCAGAATATTTTTCCTTTGGCCAGAGCACTATTTGAGAGGCCATTCTCAAATCCAAGTTGATTAATGAAGACATTCCAGTATAAAAAGACAACCCCTTGAAAGAGTTGTCTTTTTATATAATGATGGATTCACACTTGAGGGTTTCTTGGTCTATCATGATAGCCTAGTAATAGATTTTGAACCAGTCTACCCTGAAGGATAGGAAGAAGCTATCTAGCTACATGTTTGTTTGTTTGTTTTTTTTAAATACACTACCACAGCAGCATGGCCACAGAAAACCAAAGCTCTCACAAGTTAAGTGGAAATGAGTTATACAGCTTCTCCTGTAAGAAAATACCCTTGTGTCCCACATCTCTGTGACTAAATCATACAGAGAATTATGAAACAAAATCACTGAATCTTTTGCCAGTCATATGACTTTTCCTCATTAAATTTAAATTATAAACTAACTTGCTCACTGACAACACCCATAGAGCCTACTTTCCCTTCACAAGTTGTGAGGAGTAATTAGAAACATTTACAAAAACATTGATCCTCTATTTATGCTTTCAATCCTCTATGGAAGACAACTTTAGGAACCAGTAGCTATGCTCAGGTGTTGTAAACATTGCAAATTTTTTATCATAAAATGTCATAAAAAATCATAGAAAGGTGCTAGTAACACAGAACCAGAATGTAATTTCTTTGTTTGCATGAATTCTTCTGAAAAGAAAATGTCTCTGCACAATCTCATCCTCTTTTACATTGCTCCAAAGAGAAAAACCCTCCTTGGTATGAAGCAGCCTGAATTTATGATGATCATTAAAATGCTTGGGTTAGGTAACAGGGCAGAGAGGAGAGGCAAAAATCCTCATAAATGCTAACAAGGCACAAAGTAAACTACTGGTCAGCTGCAGAGAGATGCACTTCTCCCAACCCAAGCATTCTGGCTTGCTGTAGTGAAAACACAGGCATCTGCCAGTTTCAAACAGCTGAAACACTGCCAGGGCACAGGAAAGCCTGGAAAGCCCAAGGAGTTTGAGTCCCCTTTTGCCCATTATTGTGCACTCACACCTAGATATAGTCAGAAAAAGACCTCCCTCCCTCCTATAAACCCAAGTAGCAAAGAAAGCAGCCTTCAGAAGCCTCTCTCCCAGTCCAGGAGGCTGCCTTGGGGCTGGGTGGACAGAGTGGACCAGACTCACCGCAGAGCTGGGGAAGCCCTCTGCGCAGGCTGCCTGCAGCTGGCTCCGTGGCCCTCTTCTCCCTCAGGCCCCACTGCTTTCAAGAAATACGTGGGTAGCAGAGGTCCCGGCCATGATAAAATACTGTTCCCCAAACCAGACCATGGTGACTTTTAATTCCTTTGTCAACTGCCATTATCTTTGTCTGTTTGCTGGTAGGGATGGGTGTGGAAGGAGGGGTGAGCCCTGCTGGTAAGAGATAGACAGAGAGACAGACAGACAGACAGAGAGACAGACAGACAGATGGGGTGAGGGTGTGGATGTGTAGTGGAGAGACAGGACTAGAGACCAGGCCAGGAGTCCTGAGACCAGAGCACTCCTCCTGGCTATGACACTAACTAGTTGTTACTTCCCTGAACCTCAGTCTCCTTACCTAGAAAACAAAAACCATAAAAATGCAGTCTCTTTCTCACAGGAACAAATAAGGTGAAAGTATTTTAAAAATTGAATGTATTTTAGAATTGTAAAATATTACTATTATAGAGTACATAAATAAAGTCTCCTAATTTTTCAAGCCTGGAAATCTGGTTTCTAAATTTATTTTCTTCTAGGATAGCAGAGGAGGGGCAGGTAGGAGCAGGTAACGGAGGGAGAGAACTGCTCTATCCCATTAAAACCATGGGGCCATAGTTGGCAATGGAGCAGCTGCTAGAATCACCAACAGCAGTCTGAAGACAGCACTGTGAGGGTGAACCAGCCAAAAACACCTCAGCATGAGCCAGAGACATCAAGAAAAAGACCACCATTGTGCAGGGTGCTCTGCTGAATTAGGTTGGAATGGGTATTGTTTAAGACATCTCTTAAGACTCCACTAATATAGACACTTCCAGCAATTACAACAAACAGATCACAGCTTCTTATATGGCTGAAAAGAGGGAAGAGGAATGCCAACTTCCTAGAAGACTCAAGGCATGTCATCTTTCCAGGAAATGGCAACGGAAAGAGGAGCAGGCCTAGAGATTAACCCTCCAAAAGGCAGCAACTGAACTGAGGCCCACATGGCATGGACAGCCATCCAGAATTCTAAATCACCATCTTGAAACTATTGTGTCTCCCACTGAGAATCTAAACATTTCCCAGAAAAGGAGGGATTAACTATGTTTAAGATGAGGAACTCTCTCATACCCAGAGAAGGGCAGCAGTGGGAAGAACAAATTGGAAAACACATACCATGCTCCTGGGCACAATGTGAAATAAACTGACATACTTCCTGTGCTGTGGCACACCTGTCAAGTTTTATTTGGTGATACCATGTCCTAGACAATGAAGTAATGTTAAAAATGAGATCTAAAGCTCATGCCCCACAGGACACTTGATCTTGTGTTTAAATTCCTTTAAAAAAAAAAAAAGTAGGAAGAGTTATGATCCTCAAAGGCTATTGGAGAAGCACCAATTTAACACTCCAAATTTAAACAGCTTTTACTAATACTACAACATGAAGTTTACGAAAACTGGAATGTATCCACTTTAGTTCCAGAAATTAGAGCTAGAAGGAACTGACCCCAGGTGTTTGGCCTACATTAACAGAGCATTTTACCCAATGAGGAATAAATTCAAATCTGTTTCATAAGTCAAAATTAAGCTTGGGAATTCCCATCACTCTTGGAGTCATGATTAATATATAACTTTAATTTTCTATTTTGTAGCATCACCTTACAGATGTGGTGGTTCCCAAAATAGGCTATGTACCAGAACAAACTGGGAAGCTAAGTAAAAATACAGATTCTCAGGCCTCCATAATTGAAATCCATCATCCACATTCATTCATATTTATTCTCATTCTCATATTCTCATTCATTCTCTCTCTCTCTCTCTCTCCCTCCCTCCCTCCCTCCCTCCCCTTCCCTCCACCATCTTTTCCCCCCATTCCCCCAACTCCTTCCTCTCCCTCAACCCATCTCTCTTTGAAACTCTGAAAGAACTTGACATTTGGGAAATATTTTACCACAGCATAAGCCTCAACATTATATTGATTCCTCTGCTCCAACGTTCAACAAATAAGCCCAGGATGATAGCTAGCTTATCACAACAAACATGATTGACTTATTTAAAACATGCAAGAAAGGTAACAGCAAAAGAGAAATCAACAACTTCTTTCATGTCCTTATAACTAGAGCTCCAAATAGTAATGTCTTCTGTAGCCACTTTGTTTTTAACCAGGTTCAACTTGGTTCAATGACGGCTCTACCAACAGAGAGCTGGGGACACAGGCGCAGCCATTCTCCATGGCTCCAAAGACACAAGTCTGACTCTCCAAAAAACTGGACAATTTTAATTTTGCTCCTTGGAATCTACTCCATATATAAGCACATATAGTTTTGCCTTCCTGGTGGTGAAGCATAATAAAAATATTTGAGACTTCTGCTTTGGAAATGGAAAACACCAACTCTGGGCCTCCAATTGATCTACCCTATAGGCTCCTTACTCTACAAAAACCTAAAATGGCTTATTGAAATCATCTCAACCTCAAGCCTTCTCAATTTTACACTTAGTAACAAGACCCTATATTTACACTGAGTGATCCTTTGTGATCCTTTCAGTGAAACTTAAAAACGTAAAAAGATATCACCCTGTTTTTATATCTGAAAAGAGAGAAAGGGTAAAAAGCCAAAAGGTTTCCTTGTAATAAAATACAAGACAAATAAATAGAAACAGACACACTATCACAGAGGTATCAATCTTCTACTCACTGACTTGCTGTTTTTTTTAATTTTAAAAAATTATATAGAAAGTATACAAAAATGGTTTTCTCCTACCTGGATCCTCAGACACGTCCTTTGGTAAGGCTTCATTGACAGTACTTTTCAAAACTAGCAGTGTTTTGTTTTTAAGGAACAAGAAAGAAAAAAGAGGAAAAAAAACTATAAAATGTTATTTCTGAGGCAAATTACATTAAAACAAAGAATCCCTAGTCATCACTTATAAAAACAGGTCTTACAAACCTCTAAAAGTTGCTATAGCATTTACTAAAACAATAAAGACCTGGAATATGGAAATAGGTTATCCTTCTACAAAGAGCAAAGACGTATTTTTCAACTTTCCAGAGAGAACACCTCTACCAGATAGGAGGAGTACTACCAAGAAGTATTGGGAGTTTTTCCCTCTTTCATTCCTGACACCCAGACCAATGACATGAGAATTCCTGGGAGTAAAATCCGGGCTTCAATATTTTTACAGCTTGCCCAGTTATTCCACTATGCAGTTAGGAGAATGGTCAGAGTACATGCTGCCCAGTTCTACCTGTCTCTCCCAAGCAGGTATTTAAATAGAGAGCATGCAATTACTGTCACTTAATGGAAAACTTATTTTTCATGTTTAGCCCCCATACAATGCCTAATCAATGGCAGGCCTCAACAGTAAAACCTGAAATAGCTTCACTGATTTTTAGTCCCTTCAAATAAGCCTCTCATTTATGAGTAGTAAATCAATATCAAATAACAGGCAGAATACTGGCTTGAGGCTTAGAAAAAAATCTTGGTTCTTGCCCCAAATCTTTTTCTTAATAACTAAGCAAATGATTCATAGTATCTGAATTTCACTTTACTCATCTCTAAATTTTAGGTGATAAAACAGACCAGCTTCCATTTAGTTTTGTAAGGACTGAATAAGACAGTATGTGAGGAAGGACATGGTAGATTATAAAGCACTATACAAAGTATAGCAAGCGGGGGAAGAGGGTCCCTCCCACACTTGTAGATATTCCCAGGCCAACTCATCCCTGGGAGTAGCTCTAACATGGAACATGTGCTGCACTGCTTCTTAGCTGCCCAGTAAGATAGGAAAATTGTTGCTGGGCTTCATGTCACACTCCCACAGTCACAAAACCAAGAAACAGATAAATGCTACGGACAGAAGATAACTGTCCGTAAGATACTTCTGTCCAGAAGATAATTTCCTGATGGATTAGAGCTGTGTGCAAATGTGCATTTACACTGATGTCTGGGATCACATCTGCAAATACAAGATGTTAAGCTCTCAATTCGTTCAGTTTCTAGTTATTTCCTAATTGCTACGATCAGATTCCAGTGTAAGGTGTTAGAGTAGCCTGAGGGCCAGCAATGACTAAGGGGCCAATGAGTTGGAAGACTCTGGACACTCAAGCTCTTGCTACCACTTTGTGAACTATTGTTTTATGATTTGAGCTACTTAATCTATCCAAATGTGTTTACATGCTGAGAACCATCCTCATATGCTCTAGAAGCCACCATTCCAAGAGGAGTAGATAAGAAAACAGAGGTAGAACACTGATTAAGGAAGAAAACTCATTATTTTACTACCTTGTTTGTCATCACCAGTCGCATCTTGGGTAGGTACAGGAAGGTCAGCCGTGTCTTTAACAGACGTCTTCTTTGAAAAAGAAAAGTAAATGAATTAAACTGGTTGGAATGGAAATTAAGTGATATGCACATATGATGAAAATGGCTTAAAAGCTAGTATTTCTTGCCAACATTCCTGTCTGCAGTAAACCCTGTCATTTAATACTATCTTATTTTTTTAGGTTCCTAGTGAGAAATATGTTAATGTGTATTGAAATTTTACACACACAGGAGAAAAAAATGGTTCAGATTAAGGCACATGTATTGAATCTGAATTCAGACTGGGATTCAGCCAGAGAACTGCATAGCAACTCTTGTCCATTTGGCAAAGAACAAACCTGTCCTTTATGTATTTTTTTTTTTTTTACAAACACAAAGAAGTTCTGACAAGTGGCCCCACAATGTGGGTGTTTGCCAAGATCTGTCATGCAGATGGTGTCTAAACCTGAACACAACAGCGTTCTTGTTGTGAGATAAAAGAATTTTATTTATGAACAGATTAAAATTTTCTCCTAATGCAAATAGAGGAAGTCCTCACTTATACTAATATGAATACCCAAATATATCAAGTATGAGTTTTTTAAACTGTTTAAAATCTACTTACCATAGATTTATTTCTTATAAATTCTCAATTTAACACACATTCTAGCTATAGTTAATAACAACGTATGGTATACTTGAAAACTGCTAACAGAGTTGACCTTAAATGTTCTCACCACATCAAAAAAGGTAACTATGTAAGATGACAGATATGTTAATTAGCTTGATTGCGGTAATCATTTCACAATATATACATAGATCAAAACATTGTGAATATATATTTTTTGTCAATTATACGTCAAAGCTGGAAAAGAATACGCACTCTAAGGCCTATGACAAGATTCAGTTAAAGAATAATATATATTCATGTTTGCTTTATTTATATACGACAACTCTGGAAAGATATGTAAAAATTGAAAGGTGACTTGGTAGATGAAGGAAAGGGATGGGAGGAGGACTTGTCATCCTATGCTTTTTGATATTGTTTATATTTAAAACACAGTCATAAATCAAATAAAGGTAAATTTTAACATTTATCTTGAAGGAAGGAGAGTAGTCATCTAGTGTTCCAAAAAGTTAATTGGCTTACCTCTCAGAACCTAAACAACCCCAGAGAGATAAGCAATACTTTTGTTTTCAAACTGTTCCGAAAAAAGAGACTGAAGTATTACTTAGTAGGAAACTGGTCTATGATTTAACAGTCTTCACTTAGGTAATTCTTGGCATTAAAAGGAAGTGTCCAGATATAATTTCCTATTCGAAGTCCATCTCCAAAAGAACAGACAATGTATCATAACAATGCATTTCTTTCACTGCCTTCTTCCCCCTGCATTATAAATCAGACCCCTTGGGAGAATAACATAATTTAGGAGCAGGCAATGTAGATAAAAAGAAATCTCAAAAAACTGTTGAAAGAAATTAAATATCTAAATACATGGAAAGACATCTCACGTGCATGAGTTAGAAAACTTAGTATTGGTAAGACGGCCACACTCTCCAATCTACCGGTAGAAAGAACAATCAGTAATAGTTTAGAAGAACATGAAATATTCTTCTGTATACATATTATGACAGAAAAAAGAACACTTAAGAGAATAGGATAAAATGCTAAGAACTAGTAAATCTGAAAAACAGCAAAAAAAAGAAATATTGAATCATTAATTATTACAATCTGACCTATACTTCTACAAATTCAATGAAATATTTCATTGTCAGAATTTGGCAAGCTTGTCCTAAATTTCAAATAGAAATGCAAAAAAGTCAGAATAGCAAAATATTCTTGAAAAAGAAGAACAACATTAAATGATTCACAATTCCTGATTTCAAAAATTACTACAAATCTAAAATTATCAAGACACCAGTAATAGTGAAACAGAGAGTTAAATTATGAGTGAACTCCCATTCACAATTGCTACAAAGAGAATAAAATAGCTAGGAATACAAGTAGCAAGGGATATGAAGGACCTCTTCAAGGAGAACTACAAACCACTGCTCAAGGAAATAAGAGAGGACACAGATGGAAAAACATTCCATGCTCATGGTTAGGAAAAATCAGTATCATAAAAATGGCTATACTGTCCAAAGTAATTTATAGATTCAATGCTATCCCCAACAAGCTACCACTGACTTTCTTCACAGAATTGGGGGAAAAAAAAAAAAAAAAAACCTTAAATTTCATATGGAACCTAAAAAGAGCCAGCATAGCCAAGACAATCCTAAGCAAAAAAAAAGTAATTCAATTTCAAAATGGATAAAGGGCTTAGATACTTCACCATAGAAGATACACAAATGGCTAATAAGTACACAAAAAGATGCTCAACATCATTAGTCATTAGGAAACTCAAATCAAAACCACAATGAGATATCACTTCATTCCACTAGGGTGTCTAAAATCAAAAAGGCAGACAATAAGTGTTAACAAGGACATGGGAAAACTGGAACCCTCATACACTGCTGGTGTCAATGTGAAATAGTGTAGTTGCTTTGGAAAGCAGTCTGATAGTTCCTCAAAAAGTTAAATTAAGTTATGATACAATCCAACAACTCCATTCCTAGGTATACAGTCAAGAGAACCAAAAATACACATCCACACAAAAACTTGTACATCTATGTTCATAGCAGCATTATTTACAATAGCCAAAAGTGGAAGCAATGCAAATGTCCATCAACTGATGAATGGACAAACAAAATGTAGCATACCCATACAATGGAACATTATTCAGCATTAAAAAGGAATAAAGCACTGATACATGTTATGATCTGAGTGAACCTTGAAAACATTATACTAAGTGAAAGAAGACAGTCACAAAACACTACCTACTATATGCTTCCATTTATATGAAATGTCCAGAATAGGCAAATCCAGAGACAGAAAATAGATTAGTGATTATCAGAGGCTGGTAGAGACAGGAAAATAGGAAGTGACTGCTCATGAGTATTGGGTTTCTCTTTGGGTAGATGATGTTCTAAAATTAAACTACAGTGATGGCTGAACAACTATTAATATAGTAAAAATCACTGAACTGTATACTTTAAATTAGTATGGTATGTAAAGTCTACATCAATAAAGCTGTTTCGAAAAAGAAAGAAATCCAGTAATCTAAGAGACACTCATAAAGAGGAATATACCTGAAATTATCATCTGTAATTCTTAATGGAAATAAGCACATGGTTATAGCTCTGCTGTCTTTAGTAAAAGATGTATCACTATGCCAATTTCTCATGACCTGAGACCTAAATCAGCAGCAGCTTTTTCAGAACACAAGCACCTATACTGGAGTCATTGATCACAGGGCTGGTTCCAAAATCTAGTTCAACTCCACACATTCATGATAGATGAAAAGACCGGTAGAAAGAACAATCAGTAATAGTTTAGAAGAACATGAAATATTCTTCTGTATACATATTATGACAGAAAAAAGAACACTTAAGAGAATAGGATAAAATGCTAAGAACTAGTAAATCTGAAAAACAAGCAAAAAAAAAAAATATTGAATCATTAATTATTACAATCTGACCTATACTTCTCAAATGGACAAACCATCAATTAACCCTATTACTTTGTCCTTGAATTCTGTTTACTGTATTCATTGTCTAAAACTATACCATCCTCAAAAATAACAATCTGGTTGGAAAAGAGGGACTTTGTATTGTTGTTTTGCTTTCTCTTTGGATAGGGCGGGAAAAAAAAAAAAAAAAAAGACTAGATAGTTTTTAATCTCCCCTACCCAAGGAGACCACTTAAAGTATACAAAAGTATATGAAACTAGCTGCATATAATGTCCACAAAGGTGAATATATGTAACGTCATCCAGGATGAGAGAGAGAGAGAGAGAGTGTGTGTGAGTGTGTGTGCATGTGTGTATATGTGTGTGTGACAGATTTTATGGCCATTCTAAGGAAGATCAACTTATAACCTCATCATTTTATGTAAGCAGAGGAGCCATCACATACACTCACATACACGCACGCACACACACACACACACACACACACACACACACAGAGTCAGAGAGCTATAGCGATATCCATCCTCACTTGATAAAGCTCTTCAAACTCTGCTAGAATCACCAAAGTTAACTGAGGGCCATGAAAAATGGCAAACTATTTTGTCTGTCTCTTTGTCATATTTATTCTGCAGAAAAAATGTTAAGCAAAATTCTTCAAATGCACATTTGTCATTCCTCCTGAAATGGCTTTTCTTTATATCTTTTTCCCATGAGTAGAAATCTGAGGAAACTACCAGGAAGGCTACAACTCAAAGAAAGAGGAGCAAAGTGTCAAGGAGAGATGTTAGAGGGGCACTGGAGAGGCAGGCTTGACTGGCTCACAGAGGAGCAGAAGGTGCCATCCATAACACATGCTACAGGCATGAGGGACTCATGTAAGAGGATAAATCATCATGCACAGTCACAAGAAATTAAAGAAATGTCCCTGTTCCCTGCCTTTGACTTCTATCATCTTACAGTGGTTTCAACTTGGGTCAGAGGACTCTAATAGGAGTCTGCGAGTAAAGCTCCATTCATTAAACATTTCCATGTCTTTTAAGGAAGGGAACAGCAGGTATCCTAAGTTGTCATCATAGTAATCATAATGGTGATGATGATGACCATAACAGTGGTGATGACAACGACAGTGGTGATGACAACAATAACTATAACAACTCCTATTTATTGATCCATAGCTAAGGCTCCCTGAGCACTTGGCTAAGCTCTCCCATCCATGGCCCAGCACTGGGGGAATTCTCCCGAGTTCCTTTTGGGGATCATCCAAATCAGTCCTCATTTGGTCCAAAAGCTAAAAACGCTGAGGGAGCTCCAAATGTGATTTGGGGCCCTCATATAAAGTTCTCAAACCTCCTCTCAAAACAGTTCTGGTTCAGTATAACGTATTAATGCCCAGCTGATAAAAAATACAATTAAAATATTTACTAGGGAATTAAAGCTTGGTTAAAGTAAATAACTTGGCTCGAATTTTCTGGCTTAGTTTGGCTATACCTACATGTTACCTCTAGGAGGTCTAGAGATTATGTTACTTACTTTACCATATCCAGTTTCAGGGAGAAAAGGGAAAAAAATTATAGATACATCTGGTGTCTAGATCTAAAAGGCTCAGCATCAAAGTATTAATAATTTCCAAGTATAAAGAGAAAATGTTATAAAAGTTCATTTTCAAACAAAAGAAAAGTTCCTTTTCCAGAGTTCGTAAAGAACATAGGCTAATGGATTTAACTCCACACACATCCTTATTTATTCGCATATGAAGATCTTTCACCTCCATCCGATTCAAGTCACGAGGTTGTTGATTTGCCGGCAATGACTCAGAATAAGAATCAAATAACTGACAGTCCCACTTGGGCTTAGGAAAAGCTAGGAAAAAACAAAAAGAATATATAAGAACATTTCCTATAGCCATAGTAATCAGTGTTTCCCACTGGCTTTTCTGTGCTCATTAAATATAAGAACAAAATCAGCTAGCTTCGATAGACCACTTATGGCATTCATCACGCTGAGTTATTTTAAGTTCTTTACATGGATAACCCCAGTACTTCTATTATCCCCATTCCACATGTGATGAAACTGAGAACAGGGAAGTTAAGCAACTTACTCAAGGTCATACAGCTGATAAATGGAAGAGCAGGGACTTGAACTCCCAGTAGTCTGGCTGAAGGATATGTGCTCTGAACATTTCATGTTATAGCATAGTAATTTTCCACATTAACCATCACTATCACAAATGTAAGTCTTAACTATGTTACTAGGGTAATTTCTAATATATAGTGACATTAAGGAAATACATCATTTAACTACTGTTGGAAATAGGCAAGATCTTATAATGATGTGTACCCAAGTTAATTTTATGAAATATTTATCTCCTTGGTTGGCAGAAATGATAAAAATAAGAGCATAAATTCTTGCTGATTTACAACAAAGAAAAAAGAATCACATTAAGGGTTGCTTTCAATATGCAACAGTGACGCAGGCTGTTATTTGGGTAGTTGAATGAATTCACATGAGAAAAGATCAGGCTACTTGGTAAGCTAATTACTTCACACCAGAATATGTCTTAGAAGCAGATTCTGCTTCACTAGTTTGTCACAAAGTAATTAGGAAAGAAATATTTCAACAGCTAGAAAATTTGTCAATATTCCAAAGAGGAAAAGCAGACTGTGGCAGATAATAAACAGAAGCTACAAATCAAATTTGTCAAGACAAGCTATTAGGAAATGAAATTGTAATGCAAGGTTTAAAATTTTTGAATCTTACTTTAAATAATAATAATTACTATAATTTTGAATCTAATGTGAAAAGTTGGCATTGGATTGGCATTATTTTTAATTCTTCCCCACCCTCCCACTCTCATCAGGGACTGAAATGCCAATATCCTTCTGCAGTAAAGTACTGGCCATTGGCCAGGCATGGTGGCTCACACCTGTAATGCCAGCACTTTGGGAGGCTGAGGCAGGAGGAGGATTGCTTGAGCCCAGGAGCTTGAGACCAGCCTGGGCAACAGAGTGAGACCCAGTGTCATCTATGTATCTACCTACCTACATACCTACATGTCTATCTAATTTCAAAAAATAAATACATAAAATCAGTAAGTACTGGTCCAAGTATCAGTACCACATGGAGTTGAGTGCAAGCACCTTAATTTTTTCATTTGCTTACTCTGGTTTGAATTTCACTGATACCAGATGGGGCAAACTATGGGCCCTGGTGGTTTTTCTGACCATACCTCATAATCTGTTTCCTTAGCAAAAACTCAGTAAACACCTTTCAAAGCACCATTCCTCAGTCCAGCCCCTAGAGTGGTGTGAACCATTATTAAGATTTCTCTTTCTGATCTACCAATCAGGGCTCTGACTAGAATCATATGACTGATGCTTTATCATGAGTGGTTCCTTCCTGTGAAGAAAGCTAACACTTTCCAAAACTATAAATGTTGTCAATCACCTGCTAAATCTCTCTCCAAGGTGTCCACATCTCTCCATTTCACTGTCACCTCCCCAGTGCAAGTGCCTCACTGCTCCTGACTGGCCAGCTACCACAACTTGGTCTCCCGATTTCTACCCATGCCCCTCAGAATCTGTTCTCTGGACCGTAACCAGCATGATCGTTTCACATAGGAAATCTGATTGTGTCATTTATCTGCCTAAAATAAAGCAACATTATTGCCTGTCATTTGTTCCCCACCTTCCTCCTCAGCCTCATCCCAGCCCCACTACCCCTGGTTCTGTGCACGCCAGACACTGTGGCCTGAAATTCCCACTCCTCCTGTGCTCCGAGCTGCCTCTGAGAGCCTCCTCAGCATACCTGCCGCTCCCCTTTCCCAGAACCCCGCTTCTCCCTTCTTCGCCTATGTAGCCCCTAGCTCAGCCTTCACATCTCAGCCCAAATGTTTAAGGAAATCTTCCCTAAGGTCATGCACCCTCTTGCTGCACCTGTACTTCCCCTTCATAGGATGTATCAACTATACAGGAGTTCTGTCTCATACAGCATTCTGACCACAGAAAATGATGTGCTACCTCTCACACAGTAAGTACTCCATAGATATTTTTAAACAAACTCTATGACAAAAATTTCTATCAGAACCCACCCAATCACCTATCAAAAGGTGGCTTTTTTTTTTTTTTTTTTTTTTTTGAGACAGTCTTGCCCTGTCACCCAGGCGAGAGTGCAATGACATTATCTTGGCTCACTACATCCTCTGCCTCCCAGGTTCAAGCGATTCTCCTGCCTCAGCCTCCTGAGTAGCTGGGGACCACAGGTGCACACCATCATGCCTGGCTAACTTTTGTATTTTTTGCTAGAGACGGGGTTTCACCATGTTACCCAGGCTAGTCTTGAACTCCTGGCCTCCAGTGATCCTCCTGCCTCAGCCTCCCAGAGTGCTGGGATTACAGGTGTGAGCCACCGAAGCTGGTAGAAACTATCAAAAGGTGACTTTTGATGAAACTATCAAAAGGCTAGTGAGTAAGCCACTAAATAATACAACTCTGTCCTTGAAGTTTTACTATTAGGGAAAAGGGACTATTTCTATAATTGCAAGTAAAATGGCATCAGATACAATTCCTGTTCCATTATTTTAGAAAACAGGCCAGGTGGCTCGCGCCTGTAATCCCAGCACTTTGGGAGGCTGAGGTGGGTGGATCACTTGAGGCCAAGAGTTCAAGACCAGCCTGGCCAACATAGTGAAACCCCATCTCTACTAAAAACACAAAAATCAGCCAGGCATGGTGGCAGGTGCCTGTAGTTCCAGCTACTCAAGAGCCTGGGACAGGGGAATAGCTTGAACCTGGGAAGCAGAGGTTGTAGTAAGCCAAGATCGTGCCACTGTGCTCAAGCCTGGGTGATGCAGTGAGACTCTGTCTCAAAAAAAAAAAAATTATTGTTTTAGGAAACAAGCTTGTCTAGTCATAAATGCATGAAGATATCAACCAAATTTATACTCTTCACCAATCTTATCAAAAACTGGGTTAGATTTTCTAAAAACTGAATATAGATTAGAAAAAAAGCTGGAGGCTGGGCGCGGTGGCTCAAGCCTGTAATCCCAGCACTTTGGGAGGCCGAGGCGGGTGGATCACGAGGTCAAGAGATCAAGACCATCCTGGTCAACATGGTGAAACCCCATCTCTACTAAAAAAAATAATACAAAAAATTAGCTGGGCATGGTGGTGTATGCCTGTAATCCCAGCTACTCAGGAGGCTGAGGCAGGAGAATTGCCTGAACCCAGGAGACGGAGGTTGCAGTGAGCCGAGATCGTGCCATTGCACTCCAGCCTGGGTAACAAGAGCGAAACTCCGTCTCAAAAAGAAAAAAAGAAAAAAAGGAAAAAAAACTGGAAAAAGAGTCAAGCTTTAAAAAAAAAAACACTAAATGAAATGCCATTAAAATGAAAAAAAAAAAAAAAAAAAAGTCCAGGCATGGTGGCTCACAGCTGTAATCCCAGCACTTTGGGAGGCCAAGGCAGGTGGATCATGAGGTCAGGAGTTCAAGACCAGCCTGGCCAATTTACTGAAACCTCGTCTCTACTAAAAGCACAAAAAATTAGCCTGGTAATGGCGGTGGGCGACTGTAATCCCAGATACTCGGGAGGCTGAGGCAGAGAGTTGCTTGAACCTGGGAGGTGGAGGTTGCAGTGAGCTGAGATCACAACACTTCATTCCAGCCTGGGCAACAGAGCGAGACTCTGTCACACACACACACACACACAAAAGAACAAAAAAATGAATAGGATCATTCATATTTTGCAAAGAAAAGCAAAAAAAAAAAAAAAAAAAAAAAAAGAATGCACAGAGAAGACCTAAATGGTTCTGGTCATTTTCTTAAGCTTCATGCAATGATAAACATGGGTGATAAAGCATTTTAAAATATGCTATCACTGAATTTGATAGGGTTTTATGAGTTATTTCATGTTTTCCATTAGAACTATAAAATTATTAATTAAAATTAATCCCACAAGCCCTGGAAATGATGTGCAATTTTTGTTTAATTGAAGTGTATATGATGAATTCTTCCCTCGTTTCTGTATAAATGCATGCTGACAGTCTCCATAAAAGACCAGGAAGAAACATGGGGCTTTCTTCCATGTGAAGAAAGATGGCATTTCATTGGCACTCTTTTTTATAAATTCTCCTCTATTGAATAAGCAGGTCAAAAGAAGCCATTTGCAGTAGGAAAGGAATCAAGAGATTACTTCTTTCCTGTTAACATACTTTTAGCTCATGGCTTTCAGGTGTCTAAAAATTAAGTCAGTTACTTTTTTTTTTTTTTTTTTTTTTTGAGATGGAGTCCAGCTCTGTCACCCAGGCTGGAGTGCAGTGGCATGATCTTGGCTCACTGCAACCTCTGCCTCCCAGGTTCAAGTGATTCTCCTGCCTCAGCCTCCCTAGTAACTGGGACTATAGACGCACACCACCACATCTGTCTAATTTTTGTATTTTTAGTAGACAAAGTTTCACCATGTTGACCAGGTTGGTCTCAAACTCCTGACCTTCAGTGATCCGCCTGCCTTGACATCCCAAAGTGCTGAGATTACAGGTGTTACCCACCACACCCAGCCATTATGTCAGTGACTTTTGAAACAGTCTGTGAAACACTTGGACACCTACAAAAGTGACTTCTCAAATAACAAGGCATGGCATTTGCCACAGGTTCCACGGCCATATGGCATCAAAACAATAAAACAGACCCCCAAACAGAAAACTCAGTGTGGGTATGGGAGATGAGGTTACCCAGGACTCTTCCCCAAGGCTCAAAAGAGGGCACAGTAAAGGTATTAAATATAACTAACCCTAGAACAGAACTTGGACCTTTGCCACCTGTTAATTCCCTTCAGAGAGAGATAAAAGCCCCACGTGTCTCCAATCCCAAGAAAAGGGGTTCCTCTATGACCCTGCACTGCCTTGTCAATGAGAGCCATGTAGGCATCAAGATAACCCCCAGAAGGAAGGGAGGGAGGGAGGGAGGGAAGTGGGGGGGGGAGAGAGAGAGAAAGAAAAGAGGGGAGGAGAGGGGAGGGGAGGAGACGGGAGAGGAGGAGAGAAGAGACCAAAGAGAAAAGAGCAGTTTCCCATGCTCCTCAATTGCAAGGTCATTCCTGGGACCCATGAGAGTTCCCAGCATCTAAGAATGGGCAGCAGGCTAGACCTACAGACTGCAGTAGGCAGAAAGCAGGTATTGTTAGCAAAATCCAAGTCCAGAAATTTAGGTTTTGCTCTCTGAACTCTCCCCTTCTTGTATTTTATGAGGACACTTGAAGAAGATCCCAGAATGGGTCACTCTTCTCCCAACATGTTTACCTGTCACTTAGCAGCAGCCACAAACATAGACTCTTCCCTTTGAGTTCCTATCCTCTTGCTAATCTAACACAGAAAATGACAAACTTTTTACCTAAAAAAGTCAAGAGGCTCCGAGACTGACTTAGATAAGACATTTGCCACTTTGAATCTGGTGTCATCATGAGGAAGGGACTAGACAAGATAATCTAAGGCCTTTTGCAGATCTAATCACAAAATTTATACTCTACTAATAAGTAATTATAGTTTCTTTAGACACTGCTCCCTCTTGCTAATAATCACCCATGACTAAGCTCTCATTTCTTTAACAACCCTTCCTAAAAAGTGAGAAAGGTTGTTGAAAGCACCAGCTGTTTCTAGGGCCTCTCAATGAGCACTACACTTCAGTGAATAATGGAAATCAGACCAGTGCCCACTTGCCTTTGAAAAGGGCAAGACACACTATTAATTTTTCACTCTCCCAAAGGAATTAATACATATGTTATACTCACAATGACTCTTTCCTATCTAAAGGGTCCAAAACAATAGTTTGGGTGAGACTGTTTTATTAAGTTCTATTCTAACCCGCTGATATGCTAGAATATTCTCTATCTGCATCTGACTGTAGTCACATGGGTATATACATATATAAAAATGCATCAAGCATACATTTAAGGTGATAGTGCTTTGCACATTTCACTGCATGTAATTTTTTGACTTTTAAATTAGGTATAAGAGTTCTATTCCACTCCATCACCCAGGGCCACCTGGAGACACAGATGTGCCTAAAGATGCCAAGTTAACAGTTGGCACTACAAGATCTTCCTCTTCATTTTATACCAGCTAGGAAGTTCGGTACTTGCCTATTTCACAACTGTCATGAAAGAGTAACTAACTTTGGTTCAAATCCATCTAGATGGTATAGAATGAGAAAAACAAATAACTCACACTTACCAAGAGCAGCCCTATTCCTCACATTATGAAATGCAAAAGTCTAATATTGGTTAAAGAAAAATAACTATAAATACCAAGGACTCCCCAAAGTATCTGGACATCATTTTAAGAAACGAAAGATTTTTACACGGCCTGGAGGAAAAGTACTTAAGGTTTACAATTTATGGTGAGGCCTTACCTGCCTGCAGGTACTCTGGCTGCAGAGTTGGAGGCAGGCCCTCAGGTAACGGATAGCCGTTCTTCCGAGCCACAATGAGATGAAACGCAGCACAGAACTCAGGCAGGGTCAGGGCTCCGTCACAGTCAGCATCACTAAGTTCCCTAAATGTAACAAATGTCATGAGTACCTAACATGGGGCTTACAGAAAAAGTTATTTGGCCCAAACATCTCAATAAAACTCCCAGACTCTCTGGTGATGGCCCTACCAGATACCAAAACCCTCCTAGCCAAAGCCATTTGAAATCTCTGGGGGCCACTCTGAGGAAGAAAAATGCTGATTGATGGGATCAGCATCAGTAGCATTTTATAAATAAAAATTTAAATTATTCAGGTTCCCTAATTGGTCTGTTTAACAACACGGAGGACATGGTACAAGAAACTATGCCACCAGAAAGAAAAATGACACCCAGATGTCCACAGTCATTGAGTAAATGCAGGCTGCATGAGGTGAAAAGCCCTGGACATAGTGTTCAAAACAGGCAGAGGAAGGTGGCCACAGCCATTTTGCAGATGTCCCAGCCATTAAGCTGTTTACCCAGAGCACAGAAATAAGCTCTTTGTTTTTCAGCTTTAAGGGAAAACCTTGGAATTTTCAAGTTACATAGATTTTTATACCAAACTGTTCTTTGTTTGTGAACGCTCTCCTGGGCAAATAAAAGTAAGCTCAATAAAAAATGGAATGAATTATGTTTTAGGATAAAACTAGTAACTAAAGAAGACTGGAACCAGATAAGACAAAAAGGAAGAAAGGGGAGTCTTAAACAGGCTTGTCTTCACGCTAGTCATTATTTCCCACTAAAAGGCACAGACCTATTTACTCAGCACAAAAGAAACTTATTTGCCAAAGTATTATAACTAAGACCCATAAGCTTAACCATTTCTTAGGTGGACAGGGACAAGCATACTTGTGTTAGGACAGAGATAAGACACATACAAAATTATTTTAGAAAGGTATTATTATCTGAAAGAAAATGTATCTCTAAGGTGAGCTCTATAACCTCCTCCTCCAATTTTGAATGCACTGGGACCCTGAAATAGCTGTTCCACAGAGTGAGGGGTCAGGAAACTGCTTCAAATGTTGGATAGAGAGAATGCCATTCAGCTTTCATGGTGTGTCTCAACAAAAAGATAGGAGGCCTCAGGCCAATAATGTTTAGACTGGGAATTCTGCCAAAATAAATGGTATTCTTTTTTAAATGATCATTTCTTTTTTTTTTTCCTAGCTGGAAAAGCTAATATAAGGGTGGAGCATGGTGGCTCATGCCTGTAATCCTAGCATCTTCACAATCCAAGGTGGGAGGATCGCTTGAGGCAAGGAGTTCAAGACCAGCCTGGTCAACATAGCAAGATCCTATCTCTAGAAAAAACTGAAAAGTTAGCTGGGAACATAAGAGACATATAGAGAACTCTCCACAGAATATACATTCTTCTCAGCACCACATCACACCTACTCTAAAATTGACCACAGAATTGGAAGTAAATCACTCCTCAGCAAATGCAAAAGAATGGAAATCATAAAAGTCTCTCAAATCACAGTGCAATCAAATTAGAACTCAGAATTCAGAAACTAACTCAGAACTGCACAACTTCATGGAAACTGAACAACTTGCTCTTGAATGTTGACTGAATAAACAATGAAATGAAGGCAGAAATAAAGATGTTCTTCAAAACCAACAAGAACAAAGACACAATGTACCAGAATCACTGGGACACATTTAAAGCAGTGTCTAGAGGAAAATGTATAGCAATAAATGCCTCCATCAGAAGCAAGGAAAGCTCTAAAATCAACACCCTATCATCAAAATTGAAAGAGCTAGAGGAACAAGATCAAAAAAATTCAAAAGCTAGCAGAAGACAAGAAATAACTAAGATCAGAGAAGAACTGAAGAAGACAGAGACACAAAAAAAGCCCTTCAAAAAATCAATAAATCCAGGAGCTGGTTTTTGAAAAGATCAATAAAATAAACCACTAGCCAGATTAATAAAAAAGAAAAGAGAGAAGAATCAAAGAGATGCAATAAAAAATGATAAATGGGATATTACCACAGATTCCACAGAAATACAAACTACCATCAGAGATTACTACAAAAAATTCTATGCAAATAAACCAGTAAACCTGGAAGAAATGGATAAATTCCTGGACACTTGTACCCTCCCAAGCCTAAACCAGGAAGAAGTCAAAACCCTGAAAAGACCAATAATAAGGGCTGAGGTTGAGGCAGCAATTAATAGCCTACCAACCAAAAAAAGCACAGGTCCACATGCGTTCACAGCCAAATTCTACCAGCCGTACAAAGAGGAGCTGGTACCACTCCTTCTGAAACTATTCTAAACAATCCAAAAAGAAGGTATCCTTCACAAATCATTTTATGAGAGCAACATCATCCTGATACCAAAACCCGTCAGAGACTCAACAAAAAAAAAGAAAACTTCAGGCCAATATCCTTGATGAACATAGATGCAAAAATCTTCAATAAAATACTGGCAAACTGATTGCAACGGAACATCAAAAAGCTTATCCACCACGATCAAGTAGGCTTCATCCCAGGGACACAAGGCTGGTTCAACATACACAAGTCTATAAACGTGATTCACCACATAAACAGAACCAAAGACAAAAAACACATGATTATCTCAATAGATGCAGAGAAGGCCTTTGACAAAATTCAACAGTCCTTTATGACAAAACCCTCAATAAACTAGGTATTGACGGAACGTATCTCAAAATAATAAAAGCTATTTACAACAAACCCACAGCCAATATCATCCTGAATGGGCAAACACTGGAAGCGTTCCCTTTGAAATCCGGCATTAGACAAGGATGCCCTCTGTCACCACTCCTATTCAATATAGTATTAGAAGTTCTAGCCAGAGCAATCAGGCAAGAAAAAAAAGTGGGGGTATTCAATTAGGAAAAGAGGAAGTTAAATTATCTCTATTTGCAGATGACATGATTGTATATTTAGAAGACCCTATCATCTCAGCCCAAAATCTCAAGCTGATAAGCAACTTCAGCAAAGTCTCAGGATACAAAATCGATGTGCAGAAATCACAAGCATTTCTATACACCAATAACAGACTAACAGAGAGCCAAATCATGAACAAACTCCCATTCACAATTGCTACAAAGAGAATAAAATACCTAGGAATACAACTAACAAAGGATGTAAAGGACCTCTTAAGGAGAACTACAAACCACTGCTCAAGGAAATACGAGAGGATACAAACAAATGGAGAAACATTCCACACTCACGGTTAGGAAGAATCAATATCATGAAAATGGCCATACTGACCAAAGTAATTTATAGATTCAACGCTATCCCCATCAAGCTACCAATGACCTTCTTCACAGAACTGGAAAAAAAAAAAACGCCTTAAAATTCATATGGAACTAAAAGAGAGCCTGCATAGCCAAGGCAATCCTAAGCAAAAAGAACAAAGCCGGGGGCATCACACTACCTGATTTCAAACTATACTACAAGGCTACAGTAATCAAAACAGCATGGTACTGGTACCAAAACAGAGATATAGACCAATGGAACAGAACAGAGGCCTCAGAGGCAATGCCACACATCTACAACCATCTGATCTTTGAAAAACATGCAATGGGGAAAGGATTCCCTGTTTAATAAATGGTGTTGGGAAAACTGGCTAGCCATGTGCAGAAAGCAGAAACTGGACCCCTTCCAGGCACCTTACACTAAAATTAACTCCAGATAGATTAAAGACTTAAACATAAGACCTAACACCATAAAAACCCTAGAAGAAAACCTAGGCAAAACCATTCACGACATAGGCATAGGCAAGGACTTCATGACTAAAACACCAAAAGCATTGGCAACAAAAGCCAAAATAGACAAATGGGACCTAATTAAACTCCAGAGCTTCTATACAGCAAAAGAAACAGTCATTAGAGTGAACTGGCAACCAACAGAATCGAAAAAAATTTTTTACAATCTACCCATCTAACAAAGGGCTAATATCCAGAATCTACAAATAACTAAAACAGATTTACAAGAAAAAAATAAACCCATTCAAAAGTGGGTGAAGGATATGAACAGACACTTTTCAAAAGAAGACATATATGAGGCCAATAAACATATGAAAAAATGCTCATCATCACAGGTCATTAGAGAAATGTAAATCAAAACCACATTAGATACCATCTCACGCCAGTTAGAATGGCGATCATTAAAAAATCTGGAGACAACAGATGCTGGAGAGGATGTGGAGAAATAGGAACACTTTTACACTGTTGGTGGGAGTGTAAATTAGTTCAACCACTGTGGAAGACAGTGTGGCGATTCCTCAAGGACCTAGAAATAGAAATTCCATTTGACCCAGAAATCCCATTACTGGGTATATACCCAAAGGATTATAAATCGTTCTATTATAAAGACACATGCACACATATGTTCACAGCAGCACTGTTTACAATAGCAAAGACTTGGAACCAACCCAAATATCCATCGACAATGGACTGGACAAGGAAACTGTGTCACATATACACCATGGAATACTATGCAGCCATAAAAAATGATGAGTTTGTGTCCTTTGTAGGGACATGGATGAATCTGGAAACCATCATTCTCAGCAAACTGACACAAGAACAGAAAATCAAACACCACATGTTCTGACTCATAGGCAGGTGTTGAACAATGAGAACGCATGGACACAGAGAAGGGGGCATCACACACTGTGGCCTGTTGCAGAGGGCCAAGGAAGGGACAGCAGGGGGTGGGGAGGTCGGAGAGGGATAACATGGGGAGAAATCCCAGACACAGGTGACAGGGAGATAGAGGCAGCAAACCACATTGCCATGTGTGTACCTATGCAACAATCCTGCATGATCTGCACATGTACCCCAGAACCTAAAGTACAATAAATTTTTTTAAAATCAAATAATTGACATGTAAAAAAATCAAATAATTTACATGTTAAAAAAATCAAATAATTTACATGTTAAAAAAATCAAATAATTGACATGTTAAAAAAGTCAAATAATTGACATGTTAAAAAATCAAATAATTGACATGTTAAAAAAATCAAATAATTGACATGTAAAAAAAAGTTAGCTAGGAGGCTGAGGTAGTAGGATTGCTTGAGCTTAGGAGTCAGAGGCTGCAATGAGCTATAATTGTGTCATTGCACTCCAGTCTAGGTGACAGAGTGAGCCCTCATCTCCAAAAAAAAAAAAAAAAAGACCTAATATAAGGCTTGTAAAAGCAAAATATGTATATATGGCTGAAGAACCTAAATCCAGCTCAGAATCCCCGATACATTGGCATGCACGAATATTATTGGAGTAGTTTTCCAATAAGATGCACAAAACATGACAAGCAATTTTAAATCCTATCATAATTCTATAAATCCTCATGCAAAAAGCTTTACATAAACATTCCAATGTTTTTAAATAGCAGTGTGATCTCCTGCCCAGTTTGGGGGAAGAACTAGCCCACACACAGCCGAGAGTTTACAGCAGCATCGAGCATTTTCATGAATGCAAATAGAGCCATCTGGACTATCCCAGCACAGCCCTTCTGGAGGCAGAGCACATAAAGGTACAGTGGATACCACAGCTGCAAGTTTGAATTAGGGCCCAGCTGATAAACACCAGCCAAATTTACAAAGCTCAGAGGCAGCTAGAATAGTCAAACCTAACCTAACTCCAAAATATTCCTCAAACTTCTGTTCACTTGGCCTTATAAAATATAAAATACATAGCTTGTCAAAGTCCTTTGGTTACTTTATCACACATAGTAGGAAAGTCTGAAAATGAAATCTACAAGATGATAACTCTCATGTGCCCACAATTGCCTAGACTGAAAAGGGATTGAGATGGGGATAATAATTAGGAAATTACTCTAAAATAATAGTTAACACTTATAGTGCTTAGTACGTGCCAGATATTGTTCATTGTACTTTTCATATGATAATATTTCATTTTCACAGGAACAAAAATCTGAGTTGTATTCACTCTCATAGTCTGTTTAAAACATCATCCAAAATATAAGACTTTTTAAAAGGCAAAGGTAGGAACTGAAGGATGGGTTATGTATGATGGTATGAATGTCATATGGCATTAATTGTACTTACCAAATATAGGAGAGTTCTGGAATGGAAAGCTTTGATTTGGTGAAGAAGTTCTTGGCCACAGAACCTGTCAAGTGCCATTGTTTAAATAAACCATTAATTACTCAGCTAGAGTAGCTTTTACATTTATATACAAATAAATCACAATTTTCAGCAATCTCTTCTATATAACCACAAACATATTTATTCCTCAAAGCAATTATGAATCATGGGACTAAAAGCAACACATGAATAGCTTTTTTAAAAATATGTAAATTACAATAGGGCAAAAGAAGCAATAACATAATGCTCATGATAGATGCAAATCATATAAATTAATTTCTGCTTCATTTTTATCAAAATATGTAAAATTTTACCAAAAATTTAAAAGACGAATTTCAATACTTTGAACAAATTTGGCAGATTTCAAATAGAAATTTCAAATAGAAAAGTAAAAGAAAACTGACCAAAAAGAAGAAAACTAATACCAATGATCCCACCACACAGAGATAAGACAGACATCTTGGGAAAGAATTTTTGGTGAGAATTAAGAACTCCTAGTTGCTTTTTGAGAAACTTATCCAAGAATCTTTCTTTCTTCATTGTTGATTTACCTGTATCCATTGAAATCAGGCAATCATTCCACTTTACATGTTACATAATTGCAAGATTCAGCTGTACTTGAAATGTTAGACCTTACTGAGACTGAAATTTGAATACTTTCGGCTCCCAATACAGTTTGATATAGCAATTCCACTCCTAGGTTTGTATTCAAGAGAAATAAAAATATATGTTCACATAAAAACTGGTACACAAATATTTAAATAAGTATTATTCTTAATACTCCAAAAGTGGAAGAACCCCATATGCCTATCAACTGATGAATAGATAAATAAAATGAGATATACTGATACAATGGAATTATTCAGCCATAAAAAGGAATGAAGTTCTGGTACACACAACATGAACGAGCCTTTAAAACATTATGCTAACTGTTGGTGGGAACATAAATTAGTACAACCACTATGGAAAACAGTTTGGAGGTTCCTCAGAAAACTACAATTAGAGCTACCATATGACCCAGCAATCCCACTGCTGGGTATATACCTAAAAGAAAGGACATCAGTAAATCAAAGAAACATCTGCATTCCTATGTTTGTTGCAGCACTGTTTACAATACCTGAGATTTGGAGGCAACCTACGCGTCCATCAACAGATGAATAAAGAAAATGTGGTACATATACACAATGGAGTACTATTCAGCCATTAAAAAAATAATGAGATCCAATCATTTGCAACAACATTGGATGGAACTGGAGATCATTATGCTACATGAAATAAGCCAGTCACAGAAAGACATCACATGTTCTCCCTTATTTGTGGGATCTAAAAATCAAAGCAATTGAACTCATGGACATAGAGAGTAGAAGGAAGGTTACCAGAGGCTGTGAGAGATAGTAGCAGGGAGACAGTAGGGCTGAGGTGGGGATGGTTAATGTGTACAAAAAACTAGTTAGAAAGAAAGAATAAGACCTATTTGATAGCACTATAGGGTGACTATAGTCAATAATAACTTAATTGTATATTTTAAATAACTTAAAGAATGTAATTGGATTGTTGGTGACTCAAAAATGAATGCTTGGGGGGATGGATATCCCATTCCCCATGATGTGATTACTATGCATCATGTCTGTATCAAAACATGTCACGTACCCCCATAAATATACACACCTACTATGTACCCATGAAAACATTTTAATTTAAAAAAACTGAAACATTATGCTAATTGAAAGAGATGAGACACAAAAGACCATATGAGATTCCATTTATAGGAAAAGGGATACATTCTGAGAAATGCATCATTAGGCAACTTCCTCATCATGCAAACAACACAGTGTACTTACACAAACCTAGATGGTACAGCCTGCTATACACCTAGGCTAGATGGTAGAACCTATTGCTGCTAGGCTACAAACCTGTACAGCAGCATGTTCCTGTACTGAATACTATAGGCAGTTGGAACACGATAGTAACTATTTGTGTATCTAAACACAACTAAACATAGAAAACAGCCTGGACAATATAGTGAGACCTCCTCTCTACAAAAAATTAGCCAGGCATAGTGATATGTGCCTGTAGTCCCAGCTACCCAGGAGGCTAAGGTAGAAGGATCTCTTGAGCCCAGGACGTCAAGGCTGCAGTCAGCCAAGATCACACTACTGCACTCTAGCCTAGGCAACAGAGTGAGACCCAGTCTCAAAAAAAAAAGAGAAGGGGGGAGAGAAGGAAGGAAGGGAGAGAAAAGGAAGGAAGGAAGAAAGGAAGGAAGGAAGGAAGGAAGGGAGGAGGTGAGGGAGGGAGGGAGGAAGGAAGGAAGGAAGGGAGGGAGGGAGGGAGGGAGGGAGGGAGGGGGGAGAAAAAAGGAAAGAAGGAAGAGGAAGGAAGGAAGGAGAAAAAAGGAAAAAATGAAGGAAGGGGAAGGAAGGAAGGAAAAGGCCGGCCATAGAAAACATAGAGTGAAAATATGGTATAAAAGATGAAAAATGGTTCACCTCTATAAGGTCCTTACCATAAATGGAGTTTGCAGGACTGGAAGTTGCTCTGGGTAAGTCACAGAGTGAGTGATGAGTGAATGTGAAGGCCTAGGACACTGCACTACTGTGGACTTAGTAAATACTCTACACTCAGGTACACTAAATTTATAAAAAAAAAAAAAAAATTCCTCTCTTCAATAATAAATTAACGTTAGGTTACTATAATTTTTTTACTTTAGAAACTTTAAAATTTATTTTAACCTTCTTGACTCCTTTGTAGTAACACTTGGCTTAAAACGAAAACATATTGTACAATTTTAAAATAATTTAAAGAGTGTAGTTGAATTGTTTGCAACTTAATAGACAAATGCTTGAGGAAGTGGATGCCCCATTCTTCATGATGTGCTTGTTTCACATTGTGTGCCTGTATCAAAACATCTCATGTACCCCAAAAATATATACACCTATGTACCCACAAAAATTTAAAAATTAAAAAAAAATTGTACAGCTGTACAAAATTTTTTCTTTCTTTATATCTTTATTCTATTACTTCTATTTTTTAATTTTTTGATTTTTTTAACTTTTAAACTTTTTTGTTAAAAACTGAAATACAAACATTTATCAGCTTAGGCTCTCACAAGGTCAGGATCATCAATAACACTGTCTTCTGCCTCCACACCATGGAGGTGACTAGAAGGGGACAATAATATGCAGGGAGCTATTGTCTCCTATGATGACAATGCCTTCTTCTGGAATACCTCCTGAAGTTCCTGCCTGAGGCTATTTTACGGTTAACTTTTTTTTATATAAGTAAGAGTATACTATAAAGTAACAATAAAAGTATAGCATAATATATAATAAGGTAATAAGGGTCATTTAGTGTTATTATATACTATACATAATCATATGTGCTAGGCTTTTATACGACTGGCAGCACAGATTTGTTTATATCGGCATTATCACAAAAATGTGAGCACTGCCTTGTGCTGCAACATCATGATGGCTACAGCATCACTAGGTGGTGAATGAAGTTTTTCAGCTCCATGATACTGTTATGGAACTGCCACCATTGACTGACTGAAATATCTTTATGTGGTAACTGTAGGTAAGAGAAAATCACTGGGGCTATGTAATAGGTACACAGAGGTTTGTTACACCAGCCAGTCTAGTTGTGTCTACATCTGAAATTCTGCAAGATACAAAAGTTAAAAAAAAAAAAAAAAAAAAAAAAACATTTCTAACAATTACCTGTTTGCATTTGGCTAAATACCTGCATATGTCATGAAGAAACTCACCTGAACACAGGGTAAGATTAGCAAGTGGTCAAATCATGCAATATGGGTTTCTGCTTATTTTTCCTTAATCATGACATCAACATTAATTTGTTACATTTGTACTATTCTGCCATCAATAAAGCTATTACCACCAATCAGGAAATGATGTTTGCAATTATTTATATAAGTATATTTTAATTTTATGTGCCTCATTTCACAAGATTAAAAAATCTTAGCCTACACTTCAATATGGCAGGTTACAATTATTAAGAACATACTGTTATTCTTCAAATTTTAAAATCTAAAAAGAAAGGTTTATGAATTTTTCTTCCAGACTCTACTATTTCACTGTTAGTTTAGTCCTTCAGCCTGGTAAAATGTAGCCACACTGGCATTAAATCAGTTCCTCTCAGCTTGAATTTTACATGAGAACTCAACAGGAATCTATATATCTGAAGACAACCCAGAACAACTGACAAGTGGGAAAGCACTGGCCAATTTTTCTTCCCCATTTTAGTTTCTCTCAAAAAAGCTGGAGGAGAAGCACTTGAGCCAAAGAAAACGAGCCTGAGTTTGAAGTTTGAAGGCACAAATAACATAAAAAGACCTGCGACACCAGCTCATTAGGAGGCCACATTCTGTCCTTGCTTGAGCTCTAATATAACGAGGAAGCAATGAGAGGCGGCCCCTTGGCACGACACTCTACCATTTCGAGAACTGCCTCAGCTGATAAGGTGCAGGTCTGGGCCAGGTTCCCCCCAAATTCCCATTTAAGCCCTTTGAAATGAAAACATAATTTTCCAAATGTCATTGGCAACTTTTTTCTGCATGGTTTACATCTGATAAGAACTTGGACCTTAGATGAAAACAAACTGAAATCACAGAAGGCTGCCATATCCATTTTGCATGAATGATTTCTCAAGATGGTGGCTGTGATTCCAGTGAGAGTGATGCCTGGGGAATCCACATTTTTACCTGAAATGAAAGAGCTTGGGTCTGGCTGAAGGGATCGAAACTGATTGACATAGTACTCGCGCTGTTCTTCTGTTATCCTCCAGGGTTCATCGAGGTAACTGCTGTTATCCTGTAGTTCTCTCTCCACTGAAAAGGACTTTAAGAATAAATTAAAAAGTAAATGCTCAGAGAACCTGTCTTTAGTGAGATGAAGTAAAAACATTAAACACCAATAAAAGTTATTGTGTGTTATGCTTATTTTTTTTCCTCAGTTGAAGAAATTTAACTGCCTCATAATTAGAATCTAACTAGAACATAAATTTAAAGGCAGACATCATGCTTTGTATATTTTCTGTATTCCTCAAAGTTAACAGGACTGAGGCATGAAATACTGAATACTAAATAAGCGACAAAAAAATTCTAATTGTAATGAAGGAAGGGTTAAAAAAAGATGATCATTCTTATCTTCCACTATTGCTCACATTTTTGTCCTTTCAGATTAGCTGAGTGGATAATAAAATAATCTAAATTCTTTTTAAATCATGAAAAAGAAACTAGAACAGCTATAATCATATATTTTTTACTGTTGCAGTTACACTGAAACGCTGTATAAATCCAGGAATCAAGAGCTCTAAGTCAAATCCCACATTTCCAGGTCCTACTTGAGTGGCAAATCAGGACCACTGAACCTCTCATTTGGCATTTGTGAATTAGAGATAATATTTAGTAACAGTGCTGGGTGGTGAGAACAGCTGTCACGGTACCACAATAAACAGGGTAACAAGGAGTGCATCAGACCTGCCACTAGAGGGCATGCAAGTCAAATTTGAGGATTTAAGAGCCTAGAAAACCAGGGAAGTAGTGCAGGAAAAAACAAAGCTATGGTAGGCATGGGGGACTAAGAAAAATGTCGATGCTGGGAGGAGGCGTGTGCCTTCATTCCATCCCTCCCATGAACCCTAAGACTAAAGTGCTACTTGCCAAGGACCACCTTCATGGGACCAAGAAGTGGGTAAACACAAGAAGACTGAGGCTCGGCTGGGCACAGTGGCTCACACCTGTAATTCCAGCACTTTGGGAGGCCAAGGTGGGTGGATCACGAGGTGAGGCATTCAAGACCAACCTGGCCAACATGGTGAAACCCCGTTTCTACAAAACAAATACAAAGATTAGCCGGGCATGGTGGCACACACCTGTAATCCCAGCTACTTGGGAGGCTGAGGCAGGAGAATTACTTGAACCTGGGAGGCAGAGGTTGCAGTGAGCCAACATCATGCCACTGCACTCCAGCCTGGGCAAATAGAGTGAGACTCCACCTCAAAAAAAAAAAAAAGAAGAAGGAAGAAGAAGAAGGAAGAGGAAGAAGGAAGAGGAAGAAGAAGAGGAAGAAGAAGAGGAAGAAGAAGAGGAAGAAGAAGAGGAAGAAGAAGGAGAAGAAGGAGAAGAAGAAGAAGAAAGAAGAAGAAGAAGGAGAAGGAGAAGGAGAAGGAGAAGGAGAAGGAGGATGAGGCTTAATGACAAAAGGAGGCTAGGAAATAAGGGGAAGGGTATTGCTGCTAAAGAGCCATCAAGGTGCCTGCTTCTGAACACACTGTCAAGGAGGGAATTAATCATTGTGAGGAAATTCCACCCAGTAACCCTAGAAAAGACAACGGACATCTCCTCCCGTTCCCCATACCCACACACACACCCCATTCCAGGAATTAATTCTTTCCAGGAACACATGTCTCCCCTCTGACAATGTTTAGAGAAGAAAGGAGACTAGAAAATGTTGAGCTATGATAGAACCTTGAGGTGTCACCTCTGAAGTAAAATATGTATTACTTTGCCATCTCACACCTTGGATTAAGGGTGCTTTGGGAAGGCCAGGACAATGTGGTGAAATACTACCTGTAGAATGGATATTTCCAGAATTGCGAAAGTGAGAATACACCCAGCAAACAAGCTATTCCTCAAAGTCATTTGGGTCCTTTGGTCAGAAGGAAGGTTACATAAAGAGGTTGAGAACGGTAGGGTTGTTAGTCATTTGTAATATATATATATATCATTTTCATACTAGATGAGTTTCTACTAAATGTAAATCAAACCATTCTTAAATGTTCAAGAAGTCATTATCCATTAGTTAATACCTTAAATTCATAGAGTACTTTGAAATTTACAAGCATTTCACACACTCCTACTTGTTTGAGCACCTCAAGACTTTAGAGATATAAGTGGGTATTAATTATTATCTTTTTTTCAAGCTCAAGGAACTTACCCATATCCATTAGTGAACCCCTGCAGGCAGCAAATAATGACCCTTTTTTTATTGCATTTTAGGTTTTGGGGTACATGTGAAGAACATGTAAGATTGTTGCATAGGTACACACATGGCAGTGTGGTTTTCTGCCTTCCGTCCCTCGCCTGTATCTGTCATTTCTCCCCATGCTATCTCTTCCCACCTCCCCACCCTCCCCGTCCCTCCCCCATTTCCCCCCAATGGACCCCAGTGTGTAGTGCTCCCCTCCCTGTGTCCATGTGTTCTCGTTGTTCAACACCCGCCTATGAGTGAGAACATGCGGTGTTTGATTTTCTGCTCTTGTGTCAGTTTGCTGAGAATGATGGTTTCCAGGTTCATCCATGTCCCTACAAAGGACATGAACTCATCGTTTTTGATGGCTGCATAATATTCCATGGTGTATATGTACCACATTTTCCCTATCCAGTCTATCATCGTTGGGCATTTGGGTTGGTTCCAGGTCTTTGCTATTGTAAACAGTGCTGCAATGAACATTCGTGTGCATGTGTCCTTATAGTAGAATGATTTATAATCCTTTGGATATCCCAGTAATGGGATTGCTGGGATAATGACCCTTTTTTAAATCTCTTTTTCAAAGGCTGGATCTTGCATATCGGGATTTTTTTAACTGGGTTGTATCTATCTTAATTTTTTCAAAAACCTCTTCTTATTATAAAAATACACAGGTCCAGAGCAGTGGCTCACGTCTGTAATCCCAGAACTTTGGGAGGCCAAGGCAGGTGGATCACCTGAGGTCAGGAGTACTGGCCAACATGGTGAAACCCCATCTGTACTAAAAAAAAAAAAAAAAAAAAAATACAAAAAATTAGCCAGGCATGGTGGCAGATGCCTGTAATCCCAGCTACCTGAGAGGCTGAAGCAGGAGAATCACTTGAACCTGGGAGGCAGAGGTTGCAGTGAGCTGAGATCGCACCATTGCACTCCAGGCTGGGCAACAAGGGTGAAACGCCATTTCAAAATAAATAAGATAGATAGATAGATAGATAGATAGATAGATAGATAGATCAAAAAAAGATCAAAATCCAGTCTGACCACCAAACAACAAAACAGACCACACAACCTTCCAAAATGCTCCCACCAAATTCCAAAGCCATGCCCTAGCAGCACTTCCTGAATGAGTCCAGATGTCTGACCAGGTTCCGTTGGTAGAATATAGGGTGAGGGATGTCAGCTTGAACTGGATTGGATTACTGGCCATGATGTAATGTAGATAACTCATAGGAGCACTGCCCTCCAGGTCAGCACTGATAGAAATAGCTGGAGCAAAGGAATCTAAAACCTAGGCATGGGCAGGAGAGACGAACAGACCTATGACTCAACAATTTGGTGGCAAAGATGGTTCGTGAAGAAGGTGGGATGTGGGTTGGAAGCTCTGTCCCACCACTTCTGAGTGAATGAAGACACGGAAATCTTCATGCTGAGTGGCCCTTATTGCACCTGCAGCTGCTTCCACATAGCTGCTGTAGTCAAAAAGGAGCCCAGAATCAGTTTCCTTGACCGTCACCATTCTGTTTGCTATAACTAATCTGTAACATTTTGGGAAAATACAGTTCCACTGAAAAAAGAAAAGAGAATAAATCTCCAAGCTGGATGCTGGGTCTGCTGCATTCCCGGGTCTGACATGGAAGCTGCTGTTCCCCTAGAACGTGTCCCTTCCCTCCTGCTCATAAAGCTGCCATGTAGCTGCTTCTGTCAACCCATGTGTGCCTCTTTCTCCAATGCCATAGCCATCTGCTTTCTAGTTCCTCTCCCACATTACCTCAGTGTGGCATTAGTGGCCTCTTAGCAGGTCTCAAGTCTACTCTGACAACAGAAATCAGGAATGAACAGAAGGGGGTGATTAACTCCTCTGCTTAAAAGCCTACAGAGATGACCTGCTGCCTAACAAAACGTCCACTCCTGCACCTGGCCTTCACAAGCCTCACACCCCAGCCTTCTCTCAGCAGGCTTTCCGACTGTACATGCTCACTCCTCAGGGGTAAGATGTGTGTCTTCTTCCCAGAACACTCTTGCCCTTCTCAAATCCTCCAATGTACCTGCCATGCCCACGGCCATGACAGAGGGCACTGCCTGTTCCCATGCTCTGCTGCAAAGGTGGGTGTGGCAGCCTTGTGTGGGCACCATGACCCAACTCATGCCTGGTGTCACCTGAGCAGGAGTAAGGGTGAGTGGGCACACCGTACACTGTCCTTTGGGATGCTCTGACACAGGCTTAGGTTGGATGCTCATTCCTGGGAATGTGGATAAGAAATATCAAAGCCAATGAACAGAGAAAGCAGACCCTAAACAGATGCTCAGCAGGGCCGTGGTATAGAGAAAGGGCAGGTGGGGCTTAAAGTTATGAGAGTGCCAGAACCAAGCATCAGCAGAAGCTGGGACATAGGTAGAGAAAGGACACAAAGAAGGAGGGCAAGGAAGGCTGTGACAGCCTGAAGATAAGTGGACAGTAAAGCAAACTTAATGCAACTGGGGCAAGGCCTGTTAACAGCAGAACAAACATGAACAGCCAAGAACTCCCACCCCTACAGACCAGTGGGCCACTCCTTGGCTCTCACTTCTTAGATTCCCATGAAAACCACAACCCCTCTTCCTTTTCAAGAAAACTTAAGTGGGAAAGGAGAGTCCCTACTCCCTAAACCTAGAAAGGCCTTAGGACAAAGGGAGAGGGCATATGAGCACCATGTAACTCATAGAGTGGCCCTTCAACTGGTTAGCACTAAGTGTGCTAGCCTATCCCCCATCTCTTTCCCCTTGCTTCTCTCTGTATGCTTGAAATTGATTTAATAAACCAATTTGAGCATCTTAAAAAATATGAATCTTGGCTGGGGGTATTGGCTCACACCCATAATCCCAGCACT